TACTGGTGACTCCACTTCGCGCGATCGAGGAAAAACCACAAAGGGCAAGCGTCGTAATGTCAAATCAGAGGCTGAAGCGGATGATAAACAATATCAGCAGAGATGAAGCCGAAATTCAAGGCCTGGGAACATGAGATTATTATTCGGAATCAGGTCATCCATCTAAGGAAGACGCCAGGGCTCATTGGTACAGGCAATTGCATGAATGGCTTGTAGTCGTCTGCAACTTACCAAGAATTCAAGCTACGCGATATGATATAGAATTGCCAGTGGTTAACCATGTATCCGCAGAGACCAGTTTTACGAGCTTATTGACCGAAATACCCGAAGGATTACTCGCAAAGGCTTACGAAATTATTGAAGAAATTTCTAAATATGTCAGCAAATGGCTTCAATTTCAGTCTCTCTGGGATCTTGGAGATACGGACGTATACAAACGTCTTGGCGACGACCTTAGTGAATGGCAAAAGATTCTCGCTGAACTCAAGAAGTCTCGCACTACATTTGACAACGAGGAAAAAGAACGCTCATTTGGTCCAACGGACAAGTACAAAGTAAAGTTGGTATGATTTCTGGCAAAAGGAAATACTGAAGAATTTTACAGGCAAACTCGGCGATTCAATGGGCCAATTCTATACCGATATTGCGAAAGCTAAAGATGATCTTGAAAGTTATGCAAAGGAGAGCAAGACCACTGGTGTATCGGTTGCCTACGTTACCCTTGTCCAAGATTTGAATGTTAAAATAAACAAATGGGAACAAGAAATTAATGTATTCCGTAGCGGGGAAAAGACACTTAACCGACATCGATATACTTCTAATGACGATCGACTATCAATTGGCCGAATTGAAGGTGCTTGGGACGGTCTGAACCAACTTCTCAATGTTGCAAATTCAGTCATCAAGGAACAACGCGAGCGCCTTCAGAAACAACTTGAAGAAGAAGACCGCCTTATCGATGCCAATATCAAGGAAGCTCTCAATGAATGGTCAGAAAAGAAACCAATGCAAGGAGACATCAAACCCGAAGCTGCTGCAAAGACTCTCAGCGAGTTTGAAAAGCGCTTTAACGATCTCAAGACTAAATTCGACGGCAACTGTCGTGCGAAGTATGCCTTGCATCTTGACCTTGTTTCCGAAAGTCAGTTGGATCCAGTGTTGGAAGAGCTTGACGCTTTTAAGGCTGTCTGGAGTTCTTTGGGAGGTTTGGCAGACTATAAACGAAACAAAAGAACAGTTATGGTCGTCCGTTGCGCCGCGTAAGCTTCGTCAGCAATTGGATAATTTATTGAATTCAACCAGCCAAATGAATACAACCACAAGACAATACGCCGCCTTTGAATATTTACAAGAGACGCTTCGTGGGTATATTAAAGTAAATACAATTTTGTCAGACTTGAAGTCAGACGCATTGAAAGAAAGGCATTGGAGTCGATAATAGATGGATGTTTTCTGAAATGACAGTAGGTCATATTTGGAATATGGATTTGCGTAAAAATGAAACGGCGGTCAGAGAGATTATAACGCAAGCTCAAGGGCTTTGGAGGAATACTTGAAACAGGTATGTTTTTATCTGCACTTCTATCGACCTACTTGATAGAACTTCAACTGAATATATCGTGACCAATTGTCGATGTAGGTACGGGAGACATGGAAGAGCTACATGTTCGAACTCGTTAATCAGAACAAAACCCGCTTGATTAGAGGATGGGATGACTTGTTCACAAAGTGCAGTGAGAATCTTAATTCTTTGACGGCTATGAAAATGTCGCCTTATTGTAAATCGTTTGAGGAAGAAGCCTCGTCCTGGGAAGATAAACTTAACCATATCCACGTTTTGTTCGATGTCTGGATTGATGTACAGCGTCAATGGGTATACCTCGAGGGTATATTTAGTGGTAGTGCTGATATCAAACACCTTCTTCCAACTGAAAGTCAACGCTTTGCCAATATCAACTCGGAATTCCTGGCTGTGATGAAGAAAGTCAACAAATCACCGTACGTCCTGGACGTCCTTGTTATCCCCGATGTCCTAAAATCATTAGAGTGTTTGGCCGAACTGTTAAATAAAATTCAAAAGGCGCTTGGTGAATATCTTGAACGGGAGCGTTCTTCGTTCCCACGTTTCTATTTTGTCGGTGATGAAGATTTACTCGAGATCATTGGTAACTCAAAGGAAGTTGTTCATATTCAAAAGCATTTCAAGAAAATGTTTGCTGGTGTGTCAAACATTATCTTAACCGAAGAGAATACCATAATTTCTGGCATGGCATCTCGCGAAGGAGAAGAAGTATATTTTAAGAATCCTATATCTATCAAAGAGCATCCAGAGATCAACGACTGGTTGACGATGATAGAGAAAGAAATGAAGGTCTCGCTGACGCTTTTGCTAACGGATGCCGTCACCGAGATGAATACATTTTATCTTGCAGATGAATTGGATACTGGTGTTTTCTTGGATTGGAGCGACAAATATCCGGCTCAACTGGTTGTAGTGGCCGTACAAATTATTTGGACACAATCGGTTGATAAAGCTCTTACGACCATAACTGAAGGTGATCCGAATGACCAAACTCCGATGAATGACGCTATAGGATACGTTCTCCGCGGACTTGAAGTTTGGCTGACACTGTATTGCAAGATTTGCCTCCCACTAAGCGAAAGAAATGCGAACATCTTATCACTGAACTTGTTCATCAGCGTGACTTGCTTCGTCAATTAATTCGCAACAAAGTCTCAGGCCCGAAGGATGTTTAATGGCTATACCAGATGAGATTCTACTTCAACAAAGACGCAGAAGACCCACTAGTACGATTGGTCATTAACATGGCTAACGCTCAGTTCTATTATGGATACGAATACCTTGGTGTCCCAGATCGTCTTGGGCAGACTCCTCTTACTGATAGATGTTACCTCACGCTCACACGAGCTTTAGAGGGTCGCCTGGGTGGATCACCATTCGGACCCATTTGGATGTTCAACTTGGTCGGTTTGTGCTGGTATTTTGTTGTGATGAAAATTTCGACTTTCGACTTTCAAGCTATGGGTCGTATATTTGTTGGTCTATGCCAAGTCGGAGCATGGGGCTGTTTCGATTAATTAATCGACTTGAAGAAAGAATTTTGTCGGCTGTATCACAGCAAGTGCAGACTATTCAGCTTGGTCTCAAAGCTGCTAAAGATAATCCAAATACAAATCGAGATTGTAGGAAAGAGTCTGAAAGTCAATACTAATACTGGTAAGCATAATAATAGTTATGCGACAGAATGTTTTGTGTCAGTTTTTAAATCTTATATCTGCTCTCCTTAAATCACAGGCAGGTATCTTTATTACCATGAATCCTGGATATGCTGGCCGTTCTAACCTACCCGATAATTTGAAGAAGTTACTCAGAAGCATTGCCATGACGAAACCAGATCGTGAACTTATTGCTCAAGTGATGTTGTATTCACAAGGCTTCCGTACTGCTAAAATTCTTGCTTCCAAAGTCGTTCCTCCCTTTAATCTGTGCGCCGAGCAACTGTCTCCTCAATCTCATTATGACTTTGGTCTTCGCGCATTTAAAAGCGTCGTAAGCGCCGGTAACCTGAAACGTGAGCGCTACATAATCTTCGAAAAATGATTCAAGAAGGAACGAAGACAGAAGACGAGCATCAGAAACTTTCCGAACCCATTCCCGAACAAGAAATTGTGATTCAAAGTATTCGTGAAACGATTGCACCTAAACTGGTTGCCGAAGATATTCCACCGTTGACTAGGTATTGTTATGAATTTTTATTGGTAGTAATTATATTTGTCATTCATGGAGGCTAATCGTATCATCCTTTCTATCTAGTCTGGTTGCGGACGTCTTCCCTGGAGTCGAATATGTACCAGTCGACCTCGATAAACTCAAAGAAGAAATTATTAACGTTTGTGGCGAACGCCGCCTTGTTGAGGGGGAGCTTTGGATGGAGAAGGTTCTTCAACTTTATCAAATTCAAACATTCACCATGGTCGATGATGGTAGGACCTTTGGGTTCTGGCAAATCAATGGCTTGGCAAGTGCTGCTGTCCGCCTTGGAACGAGTTCAGGGAGTTGAAGGTATATCCTATGTGATTGATCCGAAAGCTGTGTCCAAGGACTCTTTGTATGATACCTTGGATCAAACCACTCGTGAATGGACAGGCGGGTTGTTCACTCATATACTTCGTAAGATTATTGATAATGTACGTGGCGAAAGCAGCAAGCGGCATTGGATTATCTTTGATGGTGATGTGGATCTCGAATGGGTCGAGAACTTGAACAGTGTACTGGACGACAATCGTTTGCTTACTTTGCCAAACGGAGAGCGGCTTAGTCTACCTGGTAACGTTCGTATTATGTTCGAAGTTGAAACGCTTAAATATGCAACTCTGGCCACGGTCAGTCGCTGTGGTATGGTTTGGTTCAGCGAGGAAGTTGTTAGCATGCCAATGATTTATAGCAATTACTTGGAGACATTAAAGAATGTTGCCTTGGACGATAATGAGGAAGACGGAATGCCAAAAGCACATCATGACAACGAAGAAGTTTCACCTAATCTTATTACGCAAGCAGCAGTTGCAAATATTCTCGCATCACATGTAAACGAAGATGGGTTTGTTACGAAAGTACTTGAACATGCTGAAACTCTTGAACACATCATGGACTTCACCCGCATGCGTGTTTTAAATACACTCTTCTCCCTGCTCAACAAGACAGCTCGAAATGTAATTGAATATAACGCTCATCACACCGATTTCCCAATGTCAAAAGAACACATGGAAGCTTATGTTGTCAAGCGTCTAGTTGTTAGTGTTATTTGGAATTTCTCTGGTGACGCAAAACTGGAATCGTAACCGTCTGCCACACCTGGATCATCCGTTATCGATTATGATGTTCAAGTCAGTAATGGCGAATGGATTCCATGGACAAGTAAAGTGCCGACAATTGAAATCGAAACACACACTGTTGCGGAAGCCGACGTCATTGTCCCGACAGTTGATATTATAAGACATGAGAAGTTCTGTATTCATGGCTGTCTGAACATAAACCTCTAATTCTCTGGGGTCCTCCGGGATCAGGAAAGACAATGACGCTTTTCAGCGCACTTAGAAAGTTACCAGATATGGAAGTCGTTGGTCTCAATTTTTCCAGCGCAACTACGCCAGAACTTATCTTGAAGACCTTTGAACAGTACTGCGACTATCGAAAGACACCCACTGGCGTTATGCTATCACCTAAAGCAATATGTCGATGGATTGTCGTATTCTGCGATGAAATCAATCTCCCAGCTACAGACAAGTATGGTACTCAGCGCGTTATTTCATTATTAAGACAACTAATCGAATATGGAGGATACTGGAAAACATCCGACAAAGCATGGGTCAAGCTTGAACGTATTCAGTTTGTCGGTGCTTGTAATCCACCAACTGATCCTGGGCGAGTGCCACTTACTCACAGCCGTTATGGTTGATTTATATCTCATGTCGCAGAAAAGGTTTACACCAGACATACAAGCACACTACATATACTCACCTCGTGAGTTGACGCGTTGGATGAGAGGTATCTTTGAAG